AAGCGAAAGAATGGATGGGAAGGAGAGAGGAAACTGACTCCTCGTCACACAAATTGAAAGCTGGAGTCAAGTAAGCGAACAGAATATTAAAGTTTTTTGAGTTTTGTGAGAAAAAAATGACTTTTTTGTTAAGAGCTTTACTTACGTAAGGGTATAATCCGCGACCAAAATATTTTTACACAAAATATTCTGTACTTATTTTTGTTCAATTCTTTGCTTTACACTGACTTGTCAGTGAAATACATGTATTTTTGGGGTAACTGTTAAATAAAATGATTTTGAAAATATTTTTAAATATGTTAAAACATTTCCAAAATGGAGTTTGTAGTGATTTTGAATAACATTTAAAATTTTTAAAATTGATTTTTAAAATATTTTAATACTAACATTATATCAGAATTATAATTTTAATGAATTAAAAATATTGCTTAATTGTTATTATTTTACTAAGATACATGATATAACTAAATGTTAAGTTACTTAATAAAATTCTTATCTAAATAACTAACAGATCAATTAATATCTCGTATTTTATATATTATGATATAAATGAAAATTTGTTATAAAGGTCACTTAATTGAAATTTTATTATGTTAAGATTACCTGATAGTTTTGTAATGTCTTATTGCTCATCATAGTTATATAAAAGCAAACAATTGAAATGAGTTTTGAAAAATATTTTCATTAATAGCAAGCTTGCATCGAGTCAAACAAACATACAGTGAAATGCAATTAATGTGATTTGTTATACGGGAGTCCACTTGAATGCTATGCAATCAAATGTTTCGTGCAATTGAATTGAAAATATCGCTACAAATGCAAAGGAATGACCTAATCTTGTGTTAGCATTACTAATGCATCGCGATTTACGACCAAAATATGGTCTCAAATGAATGTTTTTGTATATTTAACTTACGCTAATTGTATGGACTTTCAGGCAAAAGCTATTAAAAGAATTTCATTAACCGTTTTTATTCATTCAATTATTGCAATGCCTTTTCCTGAATATCAATATAATAACTGTTATTATGACTGTTATGTTTATGTTTTAGGAATTATCTCATTAGAGTAAAAGTGCTATCAAAATCCAATTTAATTAAACCAAATGCCAGGTATTGAGTTCAAAAGCAAATGTGTTTTGACCCCTAATCTCATGTATCGCTGAAATGTGAACTTATTTATTGGAAAAACACTTTCTATTAGCTATATATTTGATAAAAATTGAGTCAATATTTGATTGCAAACTAAATGAATAGCTTAAAGATCTTTCAGATGTGAGAAATTGGTTTACCATTAGAGTTGAATCGCAAAGAATTTCATCACTTTTGCACTTTTTATTTAATATTAATTCAGGTATTTGTCACTTAATCTTAACATCAAGTATAAGAAATCAACTTTATTTTCAAATATTTATGTGAATATTACTTATACACGATTTTAAATCATTTAACAATTCACTGAAAGAGAAGTCAGTACAAAAATTTGGTTAAAATATAGTAAATTGTTTAAGTAATACAGTACACGGTATGTAATTGATATTGAAGGGCAAATAAATACATTTATAAATTGTGTGATTGAAATAATTTATAAAAAAAGTGAAGACATGGATGATTTGGTACGTAAACTTCAGACCCTTGACGTGGGTGATCACCGGAGAGAAACTGTGGACAAACCAAAACTACCGAAAGGCAAACGGACGGCCTATATCTTCTTCAGACAACAATACGGCGCTGTCCTCAATGGCAAACGAGAAAAGCACGAGAAGTTGGGTCTGGGACAGTTGTCCAAATTATGTTCCCAACGCTGGAAGGTTTGTCTCTCTATTTTTGTAATTATTTTGTTGTCATTTAGTGTATGATTTGTGTTACCCATAGGAAGTGAGCGCCAAAGAGAAGGAAAAGTATACAAAACTTGCGAACGAAGACCTCAATCGTTATCATAAAGAAACGCAAGAATACGAGAAACAGAAGAAAGCTTACGACAAATATATCGATGAGATGAGCGATTGTGGACTTCTTAAGACACTGGCAGATAAGGAACAGTTGGATGAGTTGCTGCACTTAAAGCCCGAAGAGCGCCACAAACTTACACACAAAGTGTCCGCAAAAGGGTCTTCAAAAGTGATCGCAAAAGCCGTCATCAAAAAAGTTGTTAAAAATTATGAAGAGGAAGACGAAGACGAAGACGAAGAGGACGAGAAGGAAGAGGACGAAGAAGAGGAAGAAGAAGAGGAGGAGGAGGAAGAGGAAGAAGAAGAGGTGAATGGAAGCGACGAAGAGGAAGAAAAGGACACAGAGGAAGAAGAGGAGGAAAATGTGGGCCAAAAAGTGACCAAAAGTAGTAAACGATTAGATTTCGATGAATTGGTCGAAGAGGAGGAAGAAGAGAAGAGTGAGTCGAGTGGATCTGAATCGGAAAAGAGCGGGGAATCAGATGTCAAGCATTTTAACGACGATATACTCACTGAAGAGACCGATTCCGATGACAACCGAAAAGTGGTTCAAAAAGTGCCCAAAAAGAAAGTCCTGACGAAGAAGGCGGCGGAGAAAGAGGTGAACAAAAATGGTCGACAAAGAGGTGCCCGGAAGTGATAAACCGATTCATGAGTTATCTCAAAGTTTTTATGATATAAAAGAGGATTTAAATTGTTTTATAAAAGTTTGTATAAAAATATAAAGAGTTTTACTAATACTGTGTTTTAATAGCATAAAAAGTTTAATAAAGTTTTAATTTCGAGATTTTAACTTAAAGTAATTAATCATGAAATGAATGGTAGGATCAGATAGTAGGCTACGAAGACATTGAGAGTGAAGTAGTGGTGAAAGTGTCTGTCGGAACAGTAGTTCCCACTCGTTGTCCACAAACAATGTATTGCACTCTTTGGACCGCAATTTGAATGACTTTTGCGACAATACTTTGATTACTAACCAAACGATGGCATCACATGAATGAGAGTCCAATTTATAAGCAACACACCGATGAATCCGTACCTTTAAATAGTGTCTACATATAGAAGTATAATAAAACATCACATAAAATAGTACCGAACGTACGGCTCATTTTACAATCGGTTTGTTTACAAAACATGTTTTCGTGAAACAAATTGATTGACAAATCGTTGCATAAATCCAGTGATGAGTGCATTGAAGCCATTGCTGTCGATGTCGTTGAGTGGCATCCGAGACACGAGTGAACTGTTGCGGCCACTGGTGGCCATCCATCATAAACAAATTGATTGACAAATCGTTGCATAAATCCAGTGATGAGTGCATTGAAGCCATTGCTGTCGATGTCGTTGAGTGGCATCCGAGACACGAGTGAACTGTTGCGGCCACTGGTGGCCATCCATCAGATGAGTGTCCGTTGGAAGCCGTGTTACCCGCGGATTAGAGGACCCCCTCGACCGCCACTGCCGGGCAAAAAGGTGCCGGAGCCTCACAAATACAACTGGCTTCCCATCTATCCATTGGACGGCAAGTACACGATATCGCCGCTCAAGATACGAAAGCTCGCCGGAAGGGATCCCGAGACGGGACGGGTGGTCGTCAAGACGTTGGGCGGAGGCAACAAAAAGTACTTCCGTTGGATCGACTACAAGAAGACGCCCAATGAGGACGGGTCCGTCGTAGAGGAGAAGGTGTTTAGCGTGCGATACGACCCCTTAAGGACATCCAAGTTGGCGCTCGTGGCCGGAGGTATGCGTCTGTTGTCTCTCTCATTCTCTCTCTCTCTCTCTCACGAATGGTTTGTCTGTTTGGGAACCGATAGGAGAGAAGGTTCGTTGGATTATCGCATCGGAAACGATGCAAACGGGAGACATAATCCGCACGTTTTCGGCGATACCCCGCAATCCCGTGCGACCCAAAGAGGGCGACTCGCATCCGGTGGGGGCCCTCCC